GCACGTCTGTCGATTCTGCGTCTTGCAGTGAGTGTATTTGATGTCATTCGAGTCATACCGTTACTAAAACTTCAACACCGTACATAAGAAATTAACAAGAGAATTGTAACTAATTATTAAGCAAAATAACACTGTTACATTAACCGGGAGTTAATTTAGCTAATAATATGATTTGTCGGTGTGAATATTAAATCCGTATGTACATGACCCCTAATGACGTCGAAACTAATCTAATGGGAAATAGGGCCTATTTAGCCATAAAAGTGGAAAGTCTATATCTAAAAGAACTTTGAAACCGGATATTTATTACTCCTGTTTGATAGTCTCGTATATCTCTGTCATGTCTTCTCCAAACACTTGACCAACAAGAAATATATGAGACGTTATGGGATTGTATAACATGATATTATTGTCGTTATTGTTCCTTTCTAACCTTTTTTCCTTCAATAAATGAAGAAACTGCCATACTAAAGTCACATTTGTAACTTGTATTATTCTTAAAAGTGAGTCGCCAAGGGGAAAATATTGCTCAGAAAAAAATACTGATATGTTAATTATGGTATATGCCTTTATCAACAGCGCCCTCTCCCGGAAAGTCTTTTTGTCTCCAAAGACTAAACAAAACAGGAAATGTATTAGACATTGGATCTTTGTATACTATAATTGTCGTAATATTAACTTTCAAACTCCTTTCCCTTCATCAAATGAGGACAATTGCCACATAAAGTCACATTTTTACGTTGTACATCATGTACATCGTATAAGTCTTAAAAATGATTCGCCAAGGGGAAAATATTGCTCAGACATTTTTTTTTCTTTTTCTGATATGCTTATTAGGGTCGATGTCCTTTATAAACAGCGCCCTCTCCCGGCATATTTGTACTCGGTAAAAGATTGAATCGCATATATACGGATGTATTCCTTAGAGCAATGTTACAGTGTGTCTGATTGTTTTTCACATATCACATGACGGGCAGTACAACAATGAATGTCCCTTCCTCTCGCTAAGTTTCCACGTTGAATACAGGTATCTGTAAAACCCAATGCGTATGTGCAACAACAACAACAACAACAACAACAAAAAATGATGACAATAAGTAGTCTAATTGGTTCTGGTGTTGACCTGTTGTTCTATGTCGGTATGATAAAATATATATTGCTCTTGTACACTGTACATGAAGCAGTAAAACTCTATCAATTGTTTCCCCTCGATCAGCTATTGGTAGAGTTCCCACAATGGGGTCCCGTGACCACTTTTCCCGGACCAAGGTTTGAAAGTTGATTTTAGTCAATTTGAGGGTGCTGATTAAAATGAGCTGGGGTGAACATCGTGAAAATGTGGGCTAACTCGGCCAGACGCGAAAATTCAAAATGGCCGCTACCCGTCGTCTGGTATATAACAAAAAATACATATCTTTGCTTCTAGATGTCCGTTTTATATGATTTTTGGGTCTAAATATATAAGTTTCAATCTTTAACCATTGTAACTGAGTTGAAACAACCATTATATGAAATGTCTGGTCAATTATTTTGTTTATTTATTATCATTGCATCAGCAAGAATCATATGGTTGGTGGGGTTTGTTTTTAATTAGTTCAACGTCCTATAAACAGCTAATGTCATTTAATAACGTGTCACTTTGTGCGTTGTGTAAGCGTGCATATGTGTATGTGTGCCGGAGAAAGGCTATGTTGGTGTACTTGCCTCCTTGTGATAGCGCGTATCTGAAGCTGATTTTATAGTGCTATCTCACTGAAGTACCATGCCAAAGGCCCCATCACAACATTCCGTCCTGTAACAATATGCTGACAACTGGTTCACCCGTTGTTGCCATTTTTCTAAATGCTGAACGTTAAGCAGGGAATAACAACTACCATTTGTAAGGATTTTGGTATTTCCCGGCCTGGGGACAGAACCCATTGCATTTCTCACCTGCGCGAACGTTGTAACGTTCAACGTTAAAGCCAAAAGTGAGGTGTTGCCAAGCAGGGCGCTAGGAAATAAAAGGTAGTTAGAAATAGAAAAATATAATGTAAATCCCAAATATTGCAATGGGTGCAGCAGATTTATTTTGGTCGCTTTTATGTCCCCAAATAGAGGGCACAAAAGCAAATCACCAATGGTTAATATGCGAACGGGTGTCTTGGTAGTCGCCGCCACAAACAGCTAGTAGTTAGAAAAGAAAGAAGACAGGAAAGGAAGGAAACGAAAAATATCTAAAGTGTTGTAATGGAGGACGCAGATCAAGTTTTGTCTTTTGTCCATTTCCCCTTCGTAGAAGACACGGACGAAACCCCCAATTGTGCAGGGGCTCCCACATTAGTCGCCCCTTACGGTCATGCAGTGGGATTCAGCAGACCTATTTTTTTTCCAAACTGCACAGGTTGTCTGGTCAATGAAACATGTAGACTTTCAGTCCCCATCTTCCTCTTTATCCAGAGTCACTACATATAACTTCGTCATCATTACTTTCATTTTTCGTTCTAATGCTTACTTCAAACAAGTTATTATACTAATAAATAAATTCCCTGAACTCTCAAACATATATTTAGATCCAAAAATCACATAAAACGGACATCTAGACGCAAAGATATGTATTTTTTGTTATATACCAGACGACGGGTGGTGGCAATTTTGAATTTTCGCGTCTGAAGGCCGAGTTAGCCCACATTTAAACGATGTTCACCCCAGCTCATTTTAATCAGAATCCTCAAATTGACTCAAATCAGCTTTCAAACCTTGGTCCGGGAAAAGTGGTCACGGGATCCCATTGTGGGAACTCTACTATATGTTTCACTCGAGCTTTGCAATCTTTAACATTATAAATCTTAGGTAAACAAACAATCATATTTCCCTTCTAAATGAGCTATTTTTATGCATAAAATGTCATCATATAATTGATGTTTATCATCTTGCGTTCAGAAGGTCTGTTAGACAAACTCATCAAACATAAAATAAGAGACGGGTTGAGTCAGACTGTGGGCTTGACACTTTGACAACGCAGGCTAACAAACATGTCGTCTGCCAAACTATGTAAACATCGGTTCCCTGCACATAACATAAGTAATTAGTGTTAATTGATTTATAGTGCAGAATAGTGCTGTTAGATCTATAACGTCTGTTTGTGTGGCACGGATGTCTGGAAAAAAAGTTAGGTAATGCTATTTGATTCAGGAACAGGAATTTATTTGACTTCTCGTTCCTGTAATGATGCATTGTCTTGACGCTAGCGTGTGTATTGCCGCCGTTCCTTCTGAGTGCATGTCTCAATCAATAGCACTGATAGACGTAAACGCACTCAAACTGGATAAAAAAGGGGATGACAAGGGGGATAACTGTTGTATTTGTTGATCAAAACACAGTGTGGAAACAGAACTGCAACGTAATTTAAGTGATATGACACTTTAACGAAATGTGTTGTGGGATTGTACATGTAATAGTCTCCTTCATTATTTGATTATCATATATTATAAAATATACATTTGAGGTGGTCCAAGAGGTCGAGTGGATTAGCGACAAACCGGAAGTCATACGTATAAAACCCGGGACGAGTATATGAAGATATGAAATATGTTCCAATCTGGATAAAATGATATTTCTGATGTTATCGTACTACAGTAATCGTTGCACCATGAGTTATCATATTAACCGACAATACGCCTCATACACTCTGCTATATTCTAAAATATAATATGTTTCAACAAGGATCCTGGATGTGTTAAAAACAAAAGTTGCACTTACTCCAAAAATGCCCTCAATCCGACATTCGTCCCTCCTTTCCACACCCAACAGAACCGCCTCTATGTCGGTTTCAATCATAGTAGGGCTAATATAAATCAAGAAATTAAAAAAAAATTGAAACGTAAGATAACTTACGACAGTTCCTAATCCATGCTATATATGATACCATTCAAAACAACAAACAACACATCGCCAGTAATGGCGACCCGAGCAACATACCTCAATATAAAGCGTTAAAGCAGGGACAAAATAAATCTGTCTCGTCATCAAACAGCTGTGTTCCGTGCGGTTAGGCCATTGCAAGATAATGTTGGTTAGAAAATGATTTATGCAATCCCAAAATGCAATACGTCCTTGATCAAAGTAAGCGAAATATCCAATGTTAGCTTCTGTAATAAAGATCAACGCAACGGTGCCAAGTGTCAAGGTAAAACCGATATTTACGTAAGAATAGTGTGCTTACCCGACATCATAGATAGAATCGTATCAACAACAGCTTTACTTCGAACGGAATCGCGTACAAATTAAACGAGGACAAAATAAACTTTGAAGTTCCTAAAATAACTTCAAAGGGCATTATCTAAAATCAAACCAAACCAAACGGAGTTTATCGAAGTTTATGGACAGTTTGTTGTCTGGAACGAATGCTTAAAGTAACCATCGGTTATCAAAACGAGGCCTCCAACTGTAAAGCACAGTGATGCTGGTTTTGGCAAATACGGGTCATGTGTTCGATCGTGTAGCACGCGGTCTCGTGCTCGCACATAAAGTTCAGGGTCAAGGTCATTGGAAGACATTTGTCACTTAAACAAATCTATAACATCTTACTGGGTATGCTTTGGGAGTGAGATTTATTGTGTTCGTTCTGTTGTGTACACACTGTATAGACAGTTTACGTGAAACTTTGTCCGTGATATATAGCTGGAAACGAGTTCCGAGATAGATGTTAGTCTGAAATGTCACTAGATCATGTAAATTTATAACGCAGGATGAGCGTACCCAACGGAATGTCGAAAGATTTCAGGGAGCGGTTTCTCGTTAAGAAAACACTACATTTTTAGAAATTCGAATATTGTAGTTTGAGTAATTGTCTTTGTTGATGACTTCTTTTCATGCATTTATTGTCATATTTTACCCTTCTGATATACATTGTACTTAGACATTCTTTATTGCATTTCTATTTCATTTTCAGTTTTAGTTTCGTTTTGTTGATTTTGCTACTTTCTAATACATCAATTGAATAATTTATATATTTTCAGGATGATTGAGGATCAAGCTGATCTCTCAGAATTGACTAATGCCTCGCTACAGTTTTACCCGAACCTACAGAAATTGTAAGTACCCGCTTGTGTTTACCGAATGCGAATTCAATAATATAAAGTATAAATGTATTTAAAACAAGTGCCACATTGTACAGACAAACGTTTATGGCATTACCTTCACTACGTTCATTTCGTAAAAGTGCCGAGGTAATCTTTCTTTAAAAATTACATCCGTTTAAACAAATTTGCCACATTCCTTCGTCTGGGACGAGTTGTTTATGTAGCATGGAACTGTCAACGTAAATTTAAGGCACATTCACTCACTTGGCAAATTTTCAAAATGTTTTAAATCAATATAACACTAAATATGCTTCAAGATAAATGCGTCTTTATAATATTCATGATGGAATGCAATACATGTCGATCAAAGATAGTCCAATAATATGCGCCTTTACATCTTGGAGATGAACGGAACGGTTTTGCAAACGATAAGAACAGCTATGTCAAACATGCTATTTCATCTTTTTTAATTTTGTTTGTGATTCCTGGTTCATTCCGGGCAAACTGTTTTATCGCATAAGGAACAATTTATTTTGCTGGAACAAGGCTATATTTTCTAATGTTACTACTGTAAAAGCAGTATATTTCGTTGGGGATTTCTTTTCGTTTATTTCGTGGTTTTAAGAAAACCATGCTGTATTTACAATTAGTCACAAGTCATTATAAACGGTGTAAGTATCGTCACAGGCACAAGCGTAATATTTGTAACACAGTTACATCGCTCTTTGTATGAGAATGACGGATTTGACGGATTTGACCGATACCCATCGAGTGAGTTTATCTCGCCCGGTCTTACCTGTACCTCGCAAGCCGTGCGGTGAAATCAACTTGCACAGAAACAAAAACAAAAACCAAACTTATATTCCTTTTTTTTAAATAATCAAATATTCTATTGAGTATTCAACGAAAAGGGTGCATAGTGTAAATAAAGCAGTCATCGTCAGTTGTTTTCGACAATTTTGAAACTTTTTCAACGGAGACACGGGGAAATAAACTTCTAACGCAATAGACAAATTATTGCTTAAATGATCTAACCACACGTACGTCTTCCTTCTGGAGTAATATTTACATTAAAATCGGCATGATTTTCTCACACGATGTGTCACGGTAATCGTGAATATTTATTAAATGCATGTTCGTTTTCTTATCAGAATTTGTGTTATAAAATGTCGGAAGGCCAAACTTTTTCTTAAACGATAAAACGTTAAACAAACTTAGTATAAACCAGGCGTGTCATAATAGTATTGGCCTCCGACGACTTTAACGGTGTTGATTCGAAAGACATGTAAAGAATGATCTACTGCACGAATACTCTTTCTGAGACTTTTGGAAAAAACAATCGATTCCACAACTTCCGTCCAACCAAATGACCCTGATGTTAATATAAAATATTCATGCGCTCATCGAGTTGGCCCAATATCACTCGAAGGTTGAACGAGGATAAAATGAGTTTAATTCTCTTTATCTATTTAGGCAAGTACATGAAACTAGAATAAAAATAATAAGTATATATGTAATAGTCGTCTTTTATCGTGGATATACGACAACTCCTGGGTTCTTTTCTCAGTTAATTTATTACGTAAGTAAAAACCCTCTTCAATGTGAAGAGGGTTTTCTCGGACAAAGTCCGCTGAGTCCTCAGTCTTACTCGTTCAATGTAAGATTATTTGCTTTTGGCTCTAGTGCCCGCTACCTCTTTTAATTCCTATGCTGGCTAGGTAAAGATATAGGTGTACAAATGTTCGCTGTGCTCACTCTGGCCGCTCTGTTCAAAGTGACCAGTGCACCAGGTAAATTACCCTACATTCCACACTAGGTATTCTATACATAGACAATACGTGCTGGACAAACAGGTTTACAACACATTACATCACATCCGCTCAGTACCTTACTCGCATTTACGCGTGCTATTTCCGCGCGCGCGCTAAAAGTTTTGCCGCAATGCGTGACGTACAAAATTACACGGAAGGCTGATTTCCGTTACATACGAACGCGTATAGCTAAATACCACAAATATATTAAAAGTAATAATGACAAATAATGACACTACTACATTCTCCCCTCCTTAGATGGAAGATGTCCTCATCTACATGATCAGGAAATAATGTAAATAAAACATAAAACAATATAACAAAAGTCCATGCAAAATATTTACACACAATTCAAATATAAAATCTGCAACTGAGGAAAAAACAAAAAAATATATATTAACTCCCCAATTCATCAGGTATTCCCCCGCTTAAATGAAAGATGTCCTCATCTTCCATGGGGTTTCCATTTACACATACATACTACATATACAAATGCATATTAACGTTCAAATAACGTTACGTAAAATGGCACACATACTCAACCAGTTAAAATATTTAACAATGCCTGTTGGGCTGATGCTGGCATATCTCCGAAGGATGCTGTAGATGTTATGTCCATCAGAAACATGGCTTTCATCTTCCATTCCGCTCCAGCAGGTTGTTGTGAACAAACAAACTCGCCTGATGTCATCCAATTAGGCGGTCGTTTGTTCCTTGTCGATCGTCGGGGTATTGGAATCTCCGGATCAGGCGAAGTAGTATTCCCCTGTACTGCAGCTGCAGGTTCATCCTCCGGTTCCGATTCCGATGTCTCCTCATCACTGAAGTCGATCTGAGGTCCAGGTACGGGTGTCATGTCCTTGCTCGGCTGCACCTTGTCCTGTGTGGGAGGCCGTTGAACGTTAGTAGGAACGTTCATACCCACAAATTCCTCATCCGAGCTCTCGTTGCTGTCACTTACAGGCGGTGATACAACAGGCTCAGCCACAGACTTCCGATGATGCGGACCACTATCCATCCTCGACCTCCTAACACGAGGTACCGGCCGAGGTGGATGTGCAATGGGTACCGTATCCACTTCCACCGGTATAGTTCCAATTGGAAGTAGATGGTTTCTGTGAAGAGTTCTACTCTTTCCTTCACCACTCTCTCGAAGTATGGTGTATACCGGAATGTCAATGTTGGGTTGACTCTGTACGATGTATACGTCAGGCTCCCAGCGATCCGCTAGCTTGTGACGTCCCTCAAAGGCAAGTACCTTAACAAGAACGCGGTCACCCGGTTCCAAAACGGCTTCTCTACTACGTAGATCGTAGCCTGCCTTCTGACGACTCTGCGATTCCCGAGCCTTCTTACTCGCTAAGCTGAACGAATGTGACATCCGGTTCCTCATGTTTTTGACATAATCCGGCATGCTAGTTGGGGTAATTTCCTCGTTTACTCCACACAATAGATCAACGGGCAATCGTGGCTGTCGTCCAAACATCAGCTGAAATGGCGAATAACCCGTTGTCTTATGCCGTGTACAGTTGTACGCATATGTGAGCGAACCCACAAAGCTCTTCCAGTCTTTCTTTTGATGCGGTTCCAATGTGCCTAACATGTCGATCAGGGTTCTGTTGAAACGTTCGCACATTCCATTTCCGCTAGGATGGTATGGTGTCGTTCTCGATTTAGTAATATGAAATGTTTCGCACAAACTTTCTATTACTTTCCCCTCGAAGTTAGCTCCTTGGTCGGAATGTAATCTCCGCGGAATTCCGTAATGTTCAATAAATCCCTGCAAAGCCTCCGCTGTTGCTTTAGCCGACTGACTCCGAGTTGGAATGGCTTTGGCATACCTCGTAAAATGGTCGGTGATTACTAAAACATCTTGAAACCCCCCTTTAGACGCCTCTAGTTTCAAGAAGTCCATGCATACCAACTCCATAGGTTGGGTGGTAACAATGTTGACTAACGGAGCCCTAATGCTAGTCGACGATTTCCTGAGTAGACATCTCTGGCATTCCTTCAACCACGTTTCCACATCTTTGGTCATACCAGGCCAAAAGAATCTATCTCTCAGCAGAGATAACGTCCTATCCCTTCCAGGATGGCCAATGTCATTGTGTAATGACGTCAGGACCTTCTCTCGCATGGCAACCGGAAGTACAAGTTGGTCCACATCGGTCTCACCATCAGATACCCGTCTATATAGCACACCACGTTTCAGTTTCCAGCTATCCCAGCATCTGTTAAGGGTTGCGTTTTCTGGTATAGCTGAAAACCTCTTCCGTGTTGGCTTCAGATTCCTCCTAATGATGGGTAGCCATTCCCCTATAACATCGTCCTCCGTCTGAAGAGTTCGCCACTGGTGGGGTGTCATGGTTTGGAAACCATGTTCGTCATCAACGTCAAGCATATCCAATACCTCTGTTGATAGGCTCAAGCTTTCCACCAATGAACCTTTACAAAACGTTGCTCCTTTACAGACGGCTTGGACAGATTCTGATGATATGTTACATCCCGGAAGCCGTGACAAAGCGTCTGCGTCCGCGTTGTTCCGTCCTGGTCGATACTTAATATCGAAGTTGTATGCCGCTAGAGCGGACAACCACCTATGCCCCGTCGCGTCAAGCTTTGCTTTCGACAAAACGTAGGTCAGCGGGTTGTTGTCCGTTAAAACGGTGAACGTCTGTCCATATAGATGGTCATGGAACTTTTCGGTAACTGCCCATTTTAACGCCAGGAATTCCAGTTTATGAGCCGGGTAATTCCTCTCCGACTTGCTCAATCCTCGACTGGCGTAGCAAATAGGTCGTAACTGTCCATCTTGCTCTTGATATAGAACGGCTCCTAGTCCTAAGGTACTTGCATCGGTGTGAAGCTCAAACGGCTGACTGTAGTTAGCATATCCAAGCACAGGAGGATTGCATAACGCTTCCTTCAGGCCGTTGAACGCTGTATCATGCTCCGATGCCCATGTCCACTTAACGCCATTTATCTTAGTCTTTGCCCTTCCTTTGTTCTTCTTTACTCTGGTCGGTGGTAACAGGTCAGTTAAAGGTCTCGCAATCTTTGAAAAATCCTTTACAAACTTCCTGTAGTAACCAGCAAAACCTAGGAATTGACGTAGTTCTTCAGGATTAGACGGTGTCGGCCAGTCTCGTACCTTCTCAATCTTCTTGGGATCTGCCTCAATGCCTTCCGGTGTGACGATGTGTCCAACATAGGCAACTCTGTTCATAAAGAACTGGCATTTCTTAGGCGCAAGCTTCAAACCGTTGTCTCTGAGTCTCTGAAAAACCTTTCCTAGTCGTTCCAGATGCTCCTCATACGTTCGCGAAAAGATGATTAAATCATCAAGATATATCAGGCAGATAGCTAAGTGTAGGTCTCCCATGCATCTCTCCATCAGGCGCTGAAATGTCGCAGGAGCGTTCGTAAGTCCAAAAGGCATCCTCGTGAACTCATAAAACCCCAGTGGGCCGACGGTAAATGCAGTTCGCTCCTTATGTTCTTCCTCTAGCTCAACCTGATGATAACCCGACTTTAAATCCAGCACAGTAAAGTAGTGTGATCCAGCTAAACAATCCAGGATGTCCTCTACTCGTGGTAACGCGTATGCATCCCGAATGGTGCGTTGATTTAGCTGTCGGAAATCCACACACATCCTCAATGATCCATCTTTCTTCCTCACCAGAACAATGTTCGATGACCAGGGACTGTATGATGGTTTGATGACTCCCGCAGACAAAAGTTGCTGAAGATGAGTCTTCACTTCGTCATACATAGAAGGTGGTATCCTCCTATGGCGTTGTTTAAAAGCAACTGGATCCGTCAAATCGATTCGATGTTTCACGAGATTAGTACACCCGAGGTCAGTATCTCCGTGTGAAAATATATCCTCGTATCCCTTTATGAGTTTCGTTCCTAGCTGTAGTTCCTCCTCCGTAACAGCTGAATTGGTAAAGTCTATCTTATCCATAAATGACTTCGGTATTCCCACCTCTCCATCAACAGTAGGAAGTTCCTGGACAATCACTGGCTGTATCTCACATAAAATTGCCTTGGGAGGAATGATAAACGTATGTGTTGTCAGATTGGATAGTTGAACGTCCAATGGATGTGTACTGTCGCAGTCATATGAAAACACTGTAGGTGTAACATCAATATCTTTGGACAGCTTGGATCGTTCCGTGGGCTGCATGATAGCACAGGTAGTTGGATAGGCGCTCCGCTGGTCTACATATCCCTTCAGGGTGATAGTAGAGTTCGGTCTAAGGACGCAATCCATGTTTCCTGCATTCTTGACGAGGCCAATGCTGTTGCGATTTCTCACCAAATCCCGATCCCTCAATGTCATACAGCGAAATGCTAAAAACCATGGAGTATCCAATCCCTTCTGCAAGAACTTCGGTCCATTCCTGCTTCGACACCCTTCCAACAATACCGACAGAACGTTGGTTCCAAACAACACTGGTACCTTGGAGTTATAGTTGCTGTTGGGGACTACCAGCAAAAGACACCTCTGCTCATCTCTTCCAAATAGTCCTTCAAAACTGACTCCCGCTTCGATAAATCCGGAGTAAGGTAACTGTTGACCATCAGCACATTCTATAGAAAGAATTTCATCCAGTGGCTGCAGGTCCAAATGACTCAGATGACATTCATAAAAATGTTGGCTAACCGTAGACACGGTCGCACCTGTATCAAGTAACGCCCTGGTCCCCTTACCTTCTACGTTGACATCAACTTCATTAGCATTGCCAACCATTTGTGTTCCTGTCCTAGTAGCCTTAGTACTCTTGTTCGGACCTTGAATTCGGAAATCTATGAGTGGTCCGTCTTCATAGACTCCTTCCCTTTTACCGAACTGCGCGAGTGATCCATATTTACCCTGCATCGCGCTCTGATATGTCCCGGCTGTCTGCACCTCCAGCATATAATATCAGGTTTCCTGTCCCAAGACGCGTCATCCTGGTCAGTCTTCTCTTGCGACGGCTTAGAGTGGTAAACAGACCCTCCTCCGTAGTTGTTAGAGTTTCCTCTATTCCTGTTCCTGTGATCTCTGTTGTTCTTCCACGAGGTTGTCCCACCATCGGATATCTGCTTCTCTAACCTCTGAATAGCAGCAGACAATTGGTTGACCACAGACCTCAAATCCTCCTTCTCCTCCCCTTCAACAGCTGAGTTGACAGTAACAGTCGCCTTCGATGGTTTCTCGTTGTCTCTTGTCCTTTCTATAGATCTTACTGCTATGCATAGTTCTTCATAATCAGCAATGGAGTCATGCTTGTGGCCAGTAACATCTCTTAAGTCTTGCCTCAGACCAGACCAAAACTTGTTGTGCAACCGCTTATTGCGTTCCGCAGGTCCTATACCAGAATCGGCTCTAAGCAACAAGTCTTCCAGTCTACAAGCCCACTCAGTCACATTTTCCTTGGGTTGCTGATGTGCGGCATAGAAATTCTCCAACAGAGTCTCCTGGTCATCTACTATACCATACAGACTTCTAAGTTTGGCGATCAACTGTGCGGGTGTCGCATTAGCTCCTAACCGCATGGCTACTCTGGCTGCAGTTCCCTTCAGAGATCTTCGGATAGACTGCCCAATGACATCCTGTGACTTACCTGTGTCAATCAGACATTGCACTTCGTATTTCCATAAATCGAAAGTAGCCTCACCCTTTCCTTGATCTCCAGAAAATAACGGTAACTTGTAGAATCTCGTGTCCAGAGTGCCTGTGGTAGAACCAATACCCTGAGAAACAACATTTCCACTTACCCCTTGTCCAGCCATCGACGGATTAGCAGTGTCCAATCCTCCTGTTGAATTAAGGAAATCCATCATCTGACTCCTTAACTTAACTAAACTATCACCTTTAGGTCTAGCACCCATTTGAGAAAACAACTTAGACACATGCTCTACAGAGTCCGCTTCCTCTTGTGGAAGTATCGCTTCCGCCTGCGATAGTTTTTCTTCAGAATCGGCCATCGCGAAACCTGTATCACAATAAACACAACAAAACACAAATAAAATATTCAAGCAAACCAACAAAGTTCATCTATGTGTTCTCACCAAACACAGAACAAGTATTTTACTCTCGTTCTCATAGATATACACACTTATAAATCAAATAAAACCAGCCAACTCTGCCACATCTACCGTCAATGAATTAAATGACTTACCTGAAATAGAACTATGTAAATCCTAAGAAGAATGATATTCGGTCGCGTTCAGCCAAAATACACGCGAATAAGTCAACGAAAAAATCAATCCGATTAGCGATAAATAGCATCTAACGCACCATCATCCATTCAACATAAATACAGAAAGATCCACATAGCACGTGTAACAAAGAACAACATCAACTGCGACCAAGCATGTACCCACAAAATAACTATTCCACTTGAAAAAAAAATTACTTAAGTAATCCTACATGTTAACTTTCGAAACAGAAGAAAAAATGAAAACAAAAATCTAAGTAAATTTATCAATTATCAATGACAACAGAAATTTAACACTATAAGACAACTTAAGCCAAAATTAAGTAAAAAAAACCCCAGCCAATTTCAAAAGAAATAAATTCCAAAAAAAACACCACGAAGTCAAATTAATAACAAGTGACTCCTCTGAAGCAAAGTATATTTCCGACAACCACGTATAAATTAATTTAAAGACACGAGAACAAAAAAAAAAAATACACAATTTGTATTCACAAAAACATTTTGAAAAATCCAAGAAACGTCAATTTGTACTAAACAAAATCAAAAATGAAAGCTCAATATGAAAACAATCAAGATAATCAAAGTTGAAGAGAAGGGAAAAAAATAAATTCAATCAAAGCATTTCAATAAATCATGAGTGAAATCAAAATTCAATTCAAACTAGAAATATATTGAAGCGAACAAAAAAAATGAATAACTGAAAAATACAATTAAATAATTCAATTACTTTCTACTACAATAACTCAATACAAATATAAATGTTTGCTGATAACAGATATTAAATAATACTGGATTTTTTTCAAAAATGTCACCGGAAATTGACAGCGTACCGGAAGTACGAAAATACAGAAAGTTAAATTCGACCAGAAGTTAAAGTTATACCGGAAGTACCATGGTTTACCGGAAGTTCACAATATTTACCGGAAATACAAAGAAAATACCGGAAGTACAAAATAAAATACCGGAAGTTCACAATATTTACCGGAAATGCAAAGAAAAATACCGGAAGTACAAAAGATAATACCGAACGAAGTTATTAGACAAATATACACACACAAAAAAATATCAGAACAATTATGAAATGAATAAGATAAATCAAGTTTCACCATTAAGAGTTCATGTTTCACGAAAGAAAATACAAGATATATAGTAAAATGGGTGGAAAGTCAATGGTACACAATTGTCATTTACCGTGTACGGTCAGCACAGGTCCAGTTCTTCTCCGGGTCCAATAACATATAGAATCAACTGCGCACATTGCAGTCGCGTGATACACAAAACACTCGTTGATCAAGGTCGTCCGAAGGTCGTTCGAGCGTACGTGCGTGCCTCTCTGGTATACATCCTGCATTCACATACAGACGAAATCCATCCCGTCATCAGGTGGAATAGGTCACTCAGGTGAATTTTCCAGTCCGGTCTACATTTACGGTCGGTAGATATCCATCCCGTCAAGCGTGTCGGCGGGTACACTAGGCCATCAACGATACGTGGGCGCCAATGTAATAGTCGTCTTTTATCGTGGATATACGACAACTCCTGGGTTCTTTTCTCAGTTAATTTATTACGTAAGTAAAAACCCTGTAACATGAAATACATCATATTACTACACATATAACATTTATACAATCACATAAGCTAAGACATGTCAAACAACTACCTGGCCGTAGCCAGTTACATAAGTTACAATAATGGAATACGTATTACAACTGTTACATTCAATCTATATATTATATAGAAATACAGCATAATTACAAATATATTAAAATACCCACCTCTTCAATGTGAAGAGGGTTTTCTCGGACAAAGTCCGCCGAGTCCTCAGTCTTACTCGTTCAATGTAAGCTATAAAAGGAAACAATATATATTAAAAACTTGCTTCTTCGAAATCACTTGTCTACTAAATTGACCACGCCCGATTTCTAAATTTACAAAGACTTTCAAAATATTAACTTTACTTTTAACAAAAATATTACGTTAATTAAATATATTATTGAATAGATACTATAATGAATTAAACTTATATTTATACGCGAGTACTTACATTATTTGCTTTTGGCTCTAGTGCCCGCTACCTCTTTTAATTCCTATGCTGGCTAGGTAAAGATATAGGTGTACAAATGTTCGCTGTGCTCGCTCTGGCCGCTCTGTTCAAAGTGACCAGTGCACCAGGTAAATTACCCTACATTCAATACTAGGTATTCTATACATAGACAATACGTACTGGACAAACAGGTTTACAACACATTACATCACATCCGCTCAGTACCTTACTCGCATTTACGCGTGCTATTTCCGCGCGCGCGCTAAAAGTTTTGCCGCAATGCGTGACGTACAAAATTACACGGAAGGCTGATTTCCGTTACATACGAACGCGTATAGCTAAATACCACAAATATATTAAAAGTAATAATGACAAATAATGACACTACTACATATAATTTAAACGAAGGATAATGACGCTGGGTCAATTTTGTGGACAATTAGGAATGACCCAGAATCACTCGGGATATAACAACCTAGATAAATAATTGAAACTTACAAGGATGAATTTGTAATGAACAATGGATGGCTTTGTTCTGCAATGTGTACGTTTAATGACTATTGCAATGGGTGTGTAACTTAAATTTATGATATTTTCACCATGACTTCAACAAAATATCCATGGTGTCACACTGTGATAACCTACTTCAGATTTTACTGGCGTTATGACGGATATTTTACAAGGGTCAGTTGTTGCCTACTTTTGCTTTCACTGACAAAATAATCGATATCCAACAATGACCTTTCGTTTGTTGCCCACTTCTAGTGTAATTAAAAACAATTAACGGTGTTCAACAGGGGTCGGTTGTTTGTCTTCTTTGATTTCATGGACAAACTGACCGATGTTCTTAAAAGAATCGGGTATCTACCAAAGAATTTATTCAAATAATAGTTCATAATTTGCCATACTTCGTCTTTTGTCGTACATTTATATCTAAAAATAGAATCAGACGTGATAAAGCTGTTATGGTATCTGTTACTTACAAGTACTTACTTTATATAATGATAATCTGGACGATGTGAGAGTACTTAGTTTGACTTCTTGGCTCGCCGTATTCACATCGAAAACGAGTAATATCAAATTTTAAAATCAGTTTTGAAGATCAGTTCAAAATATTCTTATTGTATCCTTTTTCTATTTTATTATTTATTTTTGTATTGTACTTTTCTGGGCATACTGTATTTGTTATCATATTTAACAGATGCAATCAAATGAACCTAGTTAACGTTCATCTTTCAAAGGTGTGTGTTTCAAATACATTGAATGAGCAATAGGCATACACTACAGAGTAAGATATCTTCTTCACGATACATTGTAACTACTCCAACAACATTGTTAAACACAATGCGTTTCTGTCGTACTCGACAACAAATAGAACAGAGGGAGAATGTGCCAGACTGTCCCCAAATACAATTTCTGTGTATTATACTGTATACATGGCGGTTTATTGATGTAAAACTTCGGTCAATTTTCTTTGCAGTATAACGGCCCTGATGCAATCGAGTTTTCTCGAAGGAAGTGTCATGATCGGCTGAAACAGAATTAAATGGCTATCTATCCAATTATATTACAGTGTATATGTATTACTGTAGAGAAGGCAATTCCATACAGCCCCACGTTAGGTCTACTGGGTATTGTATATCTATTAGCTACACGTATATAGTACATATGGCTGTGTTAACATTTCTATAATTTAAGTTGTACAAGATAATAGACGGTGCATAAGGGTTATTTCATGTATCGAGCAAAACAAGTAAAGAATACTCAAAACATATTAGAATGTAGATACCCCGTGTTCTCTGAAGTACATGTCCAACAACTCATCACAGCGATACAAAACAAACAAAAATACGCCTAACAAACTAGAATGCAGATAACCCGTATACCTCTAAGTGCATATCCAGCAAATTAACGGGTTTGTCGGCTAAAATAGATTTAGTAATGTACCTTCGATGGTTTTCGCGTGTATGTACATAAAAAAATAAGGTTTCCATATAGATTATACATTTTGTCAGTTTGGTCAAACACAAATTTATATAAATAAATGTGCAATATGTAGTATCAGTACTAGCGGTATAGTATTGGGTGGTCGGGTGGTGCAGTGGATATCGCGCTTGCCTTTCACCAAAGCGGCAGGGGTTCGATTCCCCGATCGGACGTGAAAAGGTATGTGGCAACCTACCCAACTAAGTGGTTTTTCTCCGGGTACTACGGTTTCCTCCCATAATTAGACCCCCAAGCGTGCTTACATCCGGGCCAACAAGAGTGATTAATATAAGTTGAAATAACTTGTTTCATAATTGTTGTAAATAAATAAAGTATCTATTTTTGTCTCTGCTATGTGCATCAATAGGATAGTCGCTGGTTCGAAAATCATCAGATAGTTAACGTTCCTTACCGTAGTCAGTGTTACATTCTTGGTAATTAGCACCTCTCACATCCAGTCAAATTTGTATGATTTCATCAAATATTTGAATAAATACTCAATTTCTTTTGGACGAGAAAAACAGACGCTACTTTCTCTCAGGAATTGAACAAATTGTTTTTATAGTCATCCCCGTATGTGTATTTAATGAAGTTTAATCCAAATTTTTACGCTGCAAAAAGTAATTTTTTGTGAAAGCACTCTAATTATTACTGTTTTTGCGTCTGAAGCGATAATGACACGACAGCAATGCAACAATTTAAGTCACTTAAACTATTATTTTAACACTGTTAATTGTTACTCACTTCCAAGCGTCAAAATGACAAATACCAAAATAGAGGCAGAACTAAATCACATGTTACTATACTAGCGGAAAAAAGAAACTGTGCATGCGGAGAATTGTTATAGAACTTGCATTACCAACTGTATATACATGAAAATTCACACGCATGACCGAGTATGACACATACACACTATCCGTGTGTTATTGACAGTTTTTCCCGTGCAGTTTGCTCTCTATAGGCGTTGACCAGTTTGCAATTCGACAATGAAAGTTTATTTTTCAACTGTTGGGCCACTTTGTTGAGACCAGTGAATAGCATTATAACGTTTTAATTTGTGATTAATGCTATGCCGAGGCTCAATGAAAATGACCGCCTCCGGATTATTGGTATGCTTCAAGCTGGTATGGGTCAAGCCGTTGTCTTTACACGTTTTCATTTCCATCGAAACGCAATCCGGGATTTGTGGACACGACATCAACAGTTTGGCCACGTCGGCGATCGACCTCGTGCGGGACGTCATCGTGTGACGCCACGTCAACAGGCAACCATATTCGGCTTGTCCATTTGAGAAATCGCTTCCAAACGGCAAGTTTGACTGCACGGACAATCCCTTGGTTGCTACCAATAAGCCCGAGAACTGTACGGAACCGATTGCGTGAACGAGCTATCCGTCCGCGACGTCCTGCAATCCGCCTAGTTCTACTGCCACATCATCGTGAAGCACGTCTGGACTGGTGCAGAAGGCATTTGCGATTTACTCGACGGGATTGGGCACGCATTTTGTTTACGGACGAGTCGCGAGTCCACCTGGATAGTAGTGACGGCCGTTCTAGAGTGTATAGTCGCGTTGGAGAACGTTTCCGTGACGTGTGTGTGGTACAACGACGTTCTTTCGGCGGAGGCAGCGTTATGATTTGGGGCGGCATCACACCGAACGGTAGAACGCCTCTGGTGGTTGTTAACGGGAATTTGAACGCGCTACGTTACCGTGTCGAGATTCTTTCGGACCAACGTCGTGGGCAGCAACGTCACATTACGCTACAACAGGACAACGCCAGGCCACACACAGCTCGTGTCGCTATGGACTGTCTGGCCCAGCAGAACGTTGACGTGTTCCCCTGGCCTGCTGCATCCCCCGATCTGTCGCCTATTGAACACGTCTGGGAAGAAATGAAGAGCAGATTACGGGCATTACCTAATCAACCGGTGACGTTGGCTGATTTGGCTACAGCGTTGGTACAGATCTTGAACCCTCTGATAGGCTCCATGCGTAGACATTGCCAGGCTTGCATTAAGGCAAACGGTGGACATACGAGGTATTAACTTAGTGAACTCAGTATTGACCCCTGCTGTGTTTACGTCACTCCTGAGAGGAACTTATTGATTCCATAACGTGAAAAATGGAATACAGCTGTTAATAAATAACAAATAAATTGTCCCTGAAAACCTTGTTGTCCTACGTCATACACATTTAATTTTATAACACATTTTAGGCATGCACAGTTTCTTTTTTCCGCTTGTATACTTGAGTTAATAGTGCTATAAATACCATTGTTTCACTATACAATGGTAGCGATCGTATTGAGGAAGTTTCACGAAGGGTTTTGCAGTTTGAATTGAATAAATGACCTCCTTTGTTGATTTCCAGGATGTGTTTGTTTCACAATCATCAGGAACAGAAATGACAGTCTTTCAAAACATTTTACTGACCTCACCTTGGCCTGTATTTTAACTAGACTTAATTGTTTCCATTTTTTAACTTTACTACTTTTGCTCTAAAAGATCACACCAAAAGAAACTCTAAGTGCTTTTTCAATAGCTACTGCATGCTTTTGTACTTCATTGTACAGATTTTTAACCGTTAATAGCAAATACTGTAAGGTCAAAGCGGCAAAATATTTGAAATAAAAGCGTAGACAAGCAATTACACTCCATACTACATTTTATTATATAACTGATTTATAAACAGATTCTGATTGGCCAAGGTTCCCTAACAACCCAGTCAATAAAAATCGATATTTACCGGTTTTCCTGAAATCCGGTGAATAAAAAAATCTAAATATAGAACCTGGAAATAACCTAAATATCCGGGCAATCCGACCGCAACAATGGCGTCGGTCACAGCTCGTTTAAACAACGATTTTTCACCATCAGTAAAGATGATTTTCAAAACAATTGGAAATAAATAGAAATCATCAATGCACAAACGGCCACAAAACGAGCCGTTAGAGTTTTAAGGAACTTGCAGGTGAAAGGTTTGTCGTGCGACCTAATTTTACGTAGATGCCCAGGATAAAAACGGTGAACATTACAAGAAGGACCATGTAACACTTACATCACACTGGATTGAATCGCCATTTGAAGGACGTCGACATGGACATCATCAGCAGCGTTTAATTTAAAAAAAATCTTACGGAGTTTTTGAAGCCATGACGACCGCGTTGAAACAACAGGGTTTAGATCGAGATTTAAAATAAAACATGTCAACAACTAACTATTTTCATTGAATTTGTTATTAGGTCACATGAGAATACTTATCAAGTGATCTATTGCGATCGCCTTTTGTCCAGCGTCGTCCGTCGTCCGTCGTGCGTCCTTAAACAATTCACATTTTCGACTTCTTCTCCAAAACCCCTGAACCAATTTCAATGAAACTTTGCAGAAACCTTCCATGGCC